CTGGCACCGCCCCCGCCCCCTCCGCCGCAAAGTAGTCCCGCCACATCATCGCTCCGCGGCCACCCGCCCCCACGTCGCGCCGCCCCCCCTGCCCCGCCGCTCGCTGCGAGCTCCTACGCCGTGGGGCTGGGGCGCTGCGGCGCAAGGCTGGAGAGTTCTTTTGAGGGTGGTGTTGGGGGGTACAGGAGCAGGCCGCAGGCCGGCGGAGGGATACTGTCGCTGCCAACTCGGGACTACTTTCTCGGGTCACGTGGTCCCCCTGCCCGCTGCGCGCCCCCTCCCCCGACTGGGGGTGGGGGGGCTCGGGCCTGGCCCGGGGCCGCAGGAGGTGGCGGGTTGGGGCGCGCGCCCTGTGTAGGGCTGAGTTGTGAGGGAGGCAGCGGGAGCCCCCGGCCCGCTGATCCGGGGCTGAGGCAGCCGCTTGGGGCAACTTCTCGGGGAAGCTCTTCGGCGCGGGGGCGCCGCCGCCCGGCCCCGGTCCCCACAGGCAGCAGCACCCGGAGCAACTCCCCGTGGCTTCCCCCAGCGAAACACCACTGCCTCTGCCCAGCCCTACGCGCCTCGGGGCGGCTTTTCGGGCTCCAGGAGGAGGCTTGGATGTGGCAGAAGCGGCAGCTGGGCTGTGGGACAGCAAGGGCCCACTCCTGCCTCATCTGCAGCCAGGAGGAAGGTGAACTCCTGCCTCCCCGCCGGCCAGAGCCGAAGAGCCAGGCTGCCTCCGGGCCCCGCTGCACCTCGGTGAAAATGTGGAATGAAATTTCTGAAAGCTGCTGCTAAGCGGGAGAACGGTCCTCCCGCGGGCGAGCCGCCTGCGACGCGGGTTGTGGCGCCACCTGTTGCCTGTGATCAAGAAACCCCCTCGATCAGAGAGTAGCTGCAGTCACTGAAAAAAAATTCAGGGTTACCAGCGTACTCTGTTCCTGTACCTTTGGTCACACAAGGCCTACATCCAATGCTAACAACACCAGCCCAACGCCCAAGGGCCTGATTATTTCAAGCACTGGGAAGAATACAAGGGCAAGCCTCCGTCAGCAGGAGGGCAGCATAACCATGATGGGGGTGCCCCCCATGCAGTAAAATGCAGAAGTGAAGTGTGACTTCCCAAATGCATGATGATCCCTAAGTAGGAGAGGGAAGGCATACAAATTGAATGGAAGGATTGGGTGGCCAACACGACAGTGAAAGATTTGAAATGGAGTTTTTATTCCTCTTTCAGGTTAGTGGGGCAATGAGAGATGGGTAGTGGAGTCCCCCAGGGCTCGGTCCTGGGGCCTGCGCTGTTCAATTTCTTCATCAGCGATCTTGATGCTGGGGTGGAAAGCAACCTGTTTAAATTCGCTGATGACACCAAAATTTGGGGGGAGGTGAGCACGCTAGCAGGGAGAGAGAGATTGCAGAAGGATCTGGATAGGTTACAGGGGTGGGCAAACAGGAACAGGATGTGTTTCAATACAGACAAGTGCAGGGTGCTGCACTTGGGTAGTAGGAACCAGCAGCACACTTATACGATGGGGAACTCCCTACTTGAGAGCACGGAGGCGGAAAGGGATCTTGGTGTCATTATTGACTCCAAGATGAACATGCGCCGACAATGCGAGGTCATGGTTGGCAGGGCTAACCGGACCTTGTCACGCATCTCGAGTAGAGCCAGGGAGGTGATCCTCCCCCTCTATGCGACGCTGGTCAGGCCGCAGCTGGAGTATTGTGTCCAGTTCTGTGCGCCCCATTTCAGGAGGGATGTGGACAACATGGAGAGGGTCCAGAGGAGGGCCACCCGCATGATCCGGGGACAACAGGGCAGACCCTACAGTGAGAGACTGCGGGACCTGAACCTATTCAGCCTCCACAAGAGAAGGCTGAGGGGGGACCTGGTGACCGTCTATAAACTCACTAGGGGGGACCAGAAGGGTTTGGGGGAGACGCTGTTTCCCCTAGCCCCCGCTGGCATAACAAGGAGCAATGGGCACAAGTTGATGGAGAGGAGGTACAGATTGGACATCCGAAAAAACTACTTCACAGTTAGGGCGGCTAGGAGCTGGAACCAACTTCCAAGGGAGGTGGTGCTGGCCCCTACCCTGGAGATCTTTAAGAAGAGGCTGGATACCTACCTGGCTGGACTCATTTGAGTCCCGTTTTTTGTTTAGGGTTCTTTTGTTGTTCTCCCGCCCTGGCGGGGGGTCAGGCTAGAAGATCTATTAGGTCCCTTCCGACCCTAAAACTACGAAACTATGAAACCCAGGTCTGGGGCATTAGCACATATGAAAAATAGGTAACCTAATCCTTTAGGATACAGCTTTGATTTCTTTCTTTCTTTCTCTTCTTGAGAAACAACACTGCATACATTCATGTTTACAATATTGGAGTGTAACCAGAAGATTTGACTTTAGACACTGATCCATATTTTTTGTTAACATATATTTGTACAAAAGCTAGTCTTGAGTTTATAGCATAAAAATCAACAAATTACCCAGTTTTTTTTATTTTGCATGATATAAAATGGAAATATCATCCTTAGCTTGGAACTGACATCTGTTGGCTTATGAAACAATACTAACCTTTCCCTTTATTTGCCCTGAAATATTTTTCATCTACGGATTTTTTTTAAAGTTGGTGCCAAAGTAGTCAAATAATTATGTTGATTATTTTTGAAGTGTGCTTCCTAGTGTTTAATTTATTTTTAATTGCATAAAACACTTAATTTTGTTCAGTGGAAGGGAATACAGGACCAGGGAAAAACATTTTCCTGAAACATGGCTAATTCAAATACTCTTTTAAGAAAGAATAAACTAGTAATGAAACACTCAGTATCACAGATAATTTTTTAAAATGTGTGTAGACTTAATGAATGGCGTGTGAGCTTTTTAAAAAAGGAATAGGAAAAATATGGTTAAGAGGACTATAGCTCTTTTAACATTGAAGTTTGAAGGAGCTGTGAACAAATAATATCCTTATGTAAATCAATATACATATTTTAGATTACTTTTCTGGTAAAATATATTTTTATTCTGTAAAAATATATAAAAATTGTACAGAAAATATGAAGTGATAATGTAATAGCTCTGAATGAACTACAGCTATATTGAACTATCTATTTACAGGGTTTTTTTTAGGTAGGTAGTATTCACCTTGTAGATGCAACCAAATTAAACTGGAAGGTACAGTACCTACTTTGGTTCTCCCATTTTTTTTAAGAACTTGTACACATTTCAGTGCATGGATTTGGTGGTAGAATCCATGAGTCATCTTAATCTGATTTATTAAACTGGGTAGCTCATGTACATCAATAAATCCAAATCCTATTATGGTCAGTGGAATGAATTCCAAGACAAATCCTGTGTCAAATTCTTGAGCTAAATAATAAGGCTAAAGCTGGGCAGACATACTGGAGAAGGTAGGGAGAACGATACTCTTATGAATCATGGAGCAGCAGTACAAAAACCTTTTGTAACCCAATAGCCAAAGGAGTATCTGCATGTCCTAAGATGGGCTCATCTTAAGCGTAAAGAGGATGGGAGGACAGTTCAGTCTCTCAGATGTACAAGGGATGCTTTTAATAAAGTTAAAAAAATAAAAGCATGATTTTTGTTATACATAACCTGTCTCTTCATAGCCTAATGAAATACAATTCCAAGTCAGCAGGTGTTTTAGTCATTAGAACAACTTTCCCTTTCCAGTGTATGAGAAAATACAGGTAGTGACAAAGTGGAGTTATGCAGCTCTGTCTTGGAGAGGCTAGTTTAATACACTGATAAAATAAAACAAAACCCATGCAACAACAGAACTGTTGAAGATAACAGTTACAGACAACAGCAGGTAAGCTGCTAAATGGGGGAGTGTGGGTTAGGAGTGAGAGGCACCAACAGGGCTGAGGTGGCTGGGCTGTGGGTTGGAAATGAGGGGCAAAAGCATTGGCAGGGACATATCAGGGCTGCTCAGCACCATGAAGCAGGGAGGGAGGGGGCAGGTACAGCTGGACCCATGCCCTGGTGAGCAAAGGGGGTAGGGGGGAGCTCTGGTACTCTATGATGAAAAAACCCAAATCAAATGACAAAATAGATAGGTATTTAGAATTTATTTTATTATACTTTTGAGGTACTGGTAGGCTTCCAAATTGCTTTAAACTGTAAATATATCAATAAAACATTGTGTTCAATAGATACCTATACACATACATTTTATCGAACCTAGCAATTTTATCTCAAATTGTTAAATAAAATTGTGAGTGAAAGCGAGAAGAAGGGTCTAGGTATTAACTGTAGCAAAACAATATGCACGGTAATTACAAAGATCATTCCAGTATGCAACATCAAAGTGGATAAGGAACAGAG